GGTGAGTCCACTTTTACTCAGTAGGGCTTGACAGCAAGCACTAAATCTTTCCAAGGGTTTCAGTTTCATTTGGCCTCCTTTAGCCCCAGGAGTTTTTACACAGTACACATTTTCCACATGTAATTAAGTAATGGAGAGTGAGTTGTTATCCATGACATATAATTTTCGATAGTGGGGGAAGGTATGACAAAAGCTGCAGGCAAGATCATTAATCTCCTTGGATCCCTGCACTGCCAAATATAGCAATTCCTTCTTCATCGTATTAATATAGCTCTCCGTCTGCATTTAAATTGGAGTGATTGTGTAGAGGAATGACGTTGAATAGGAAACCCCATAGAAATCAATACGTGGTACACGGTAAAAACCTAGGCTGTAATATGTCTCTGGGTGATCCAGAGTTGAATAATTTAGTATATCAAAGTCCACATGTGGCTTAGGGCATAATTACACGATTACAGGATTGTCGAAAATCTAATGATGTGAAAAAAAGGGAGGGAGTGATTATGTAAGTCATGTATATATAGCAGCAACTTATTAATTTTCACTAATACTCACAGACCCTTTGTGAATTATATAGATCAATTAGTATATGAATAAATACAAGGGTTAAAAAGAATATGACAAACAAGGATGTGATCACACAAATGTACACTACTAGAGACTAAAGGTCTTAGTTATTTAAAATGTTACCGGTAGTATATTTTAACAGCTTTTTGTAATTACTCCTAATCATACTCCCAAATTTGTGACCAGTTCCCATTTTTATCTCAATTGTCAATAATTCTGAAAAGGAGTTGCTAAGGTATAAAAACCAAAAATTTTCATATAATGGAAATGCACAGAGAATCAATAATTTCAACTAAGGAAGAAACTATTGCCAAATAGCAGCATGAACTGTAAAGAAATACAATTTATAAAAATCAGCTTTTAAAGTAACATTATATAACACAAATTATGCAATTTAAAAGAAAAGTACACTTGCATCTACTGAACCATGATAATTTAAGTGGTAACTTCCTGAAGCTTGATAACAAATTAATATTTAATTGCTTCAGGATTTGGCTCCACCAAGGCAAAATCAGGGTTCTTGTAACAATAGTCTGAAAAAGGTAATATATAGGCATAGGTTGAAAGATGTACCTAAATGAGTAATGAACTGGACAATCAGCCTGAAGGAGACAGGATGATATGTTGGATAGCACCGAAAAGGCACCTGTTACTACACACAAATAGGACACCAATCTACCACTATGCCTCTATTGGTGATGTACAGAGCTGATTAGCAATATTTTCTTCTTTGATTTCCTTTAGTGCTTTAAATTCTGACACTATTTGCTATTACTTACCTCAGTAAAATCTATTATAACATATTTTATTGACATGGGGATTAATTCATGTTAATTAGATTTCTCTTTATACATTCCTCAATTAAACAGTGTTGTATTTGTTAGAATACCAGGTCACCATTTAGAAGGAGGAGGAGGAGGAGGAGGAGGAGGAGGA